ATACAAAGGATCAGATTATTTTTAAACCTGCGGGACTGTTAGAAGTTCAGAGAGCACTGTCCTGTGGTCGGTCCATTGCTGGTTGCCTCTGGGTTTCATGTAGAGATGTTTGATGTGTATGTGCAGGGAATAAGGGGCAGATGGATAAGAGCTGCATCGCACTATATTCATCAGAGCTCACCTTCAAGACTCCTTTGGATGTCTTAAGGTGTGGTTTCTATGAGATCACATGTGCAGGCCTTAATGTCTGATCATAAACATGCCCAAACATGCCCATAAAAAGCCCAAAACTATACATGAGTAATGTCCGCTATTTACAAATGGTCGATATATTCTGAAAATCACAATCTCTTTCATGTTCCACTGTGCGCTTTTCTATTCAGGTATACTTTTACTGCATTGGCAGTTTGTTTGGGATCATTGTTATGCTGAAAAACAAAGCAGTTGCCAATCAGATTCTTTCCAGATGATATTGCATGGTAGATCAAAATCTGATGGCCCTTTTCTGTGTTCATAATTCAATCAATTTTGGAAACATCCCCAACACCACTGGCTGAGATGCAGCCCCATGACAGAGCCTGCACCATGTTTTGGGGCCGTAGACATTTTTTTTGTAGGCCTGCCACGTCTCCTTTTGTCTTCTTCTTGATATGTTTCCTTAATTTTTTCAGAACACCTTTTCCACCATGCTGTGATAGGACAGATTTTGGTTAATATCTCTTTGGAAATCAACTTGTTGGTGCAAACATAATGTGGCTTTGTTTTTTGTCAATAGACAACAGTAGGAAAAGAGTGCCTTCTTAATGACTTACCTTCACTTTAGTAGATTTCTCTTTAACACAACAGCATAATGTTTTTCAGCATACGGTTAGAGCAGTCATTTCTTCCTGTTTAGTTTATTTTAGGAGGTTTTAAACTATTTTTAAAGGCAGATTTACAATAAGTGCCTCCAAAGATGTCTGGTATTTGCTTGCTTAAGGCGTGTTTTAGTAAAGAAGCAGACCACTCAGCGGGGGCGAGTCAAGCCAGACTGTCTCGTAATATTGGACACATGAATCTGATCGAGACTGCCGACATGCTGGAGCCGTCCCCTAAACCGAACAGGAAGTTTGTGTTGTATCTTACAGCTCCTGTACATTACACTGAATCCTGTTGGCATGAGAAAATATTAACTTGGGTTAACTTAATGGGTCCCCTGCTGCCATGATGAACAGTGAAAGACATTTAGCGAAGAGACACGACAGCAGTTTGACGGAGGCACTGCCAGAAATGCTAAAACACTGAGCTGAAATGAACTTATATTCCTCAGGGGTAAGCTGATTGAGGAAAATTATGGTTGTATGCTTCAACTTACAGATGTTTAACATAAATCCCAGAGTTTGCATATCAGAAAGCAGCAATTCAGAATTGAGTTGTAATGTAAACAACTCAGTCTGTGCATCAAACATGAATGAATGAATGTTTTATTCCGACGCAGTTTTGCAGTATGATAAGATGTTGGCATGAAGAGCTGACAAACTCGTAGATGATTCAGTATCTGTGGTGCCTGGCACTAAGATCACAGACCTATCATCTGCCTCCAATCTGTCCACATGGATGTGCATGTGAAGGGTGATTAGTCTGTTTAAATGATTAAAGCTGTACACAATAGGACTCCGTCTGAATCTGGGTAAGTTCTCATGAAAGTAAGCCTGGTATGGGAAGTGTGTGCATTTTTTTTGCTTTGTGGCACTGTAACATTATACATATGTCAAACTTGATTTTACATATGTGTAATGTAAAATCCACACTCAGGATTTAAAGTAGGACCAGTATTTGGATTGTGGGTCCTGCAGTGATATACACGTATTCAAAAAGGCTATTGTGTATTATTGTATCTTATAGCCTATAAGTAAGTAAGTGTAGATTTTTAGGGGATGCAGGAAACACGTCCCCTCAGTTTATTCAAAATTCATGCATGATCTTAGCAGCTGTACATCATCTACAGATGTTTTGCACCCAGGCAGATAACAATAGAGGAATTCTAAGGAAAAAGGAAGATGAGGTCTCTTATCTTAAGATTTTTCTCAAAAGATGGAAGCTGAGCTCAAGCCACTGTGTTTTTTGAGCTTACAAACTAATCTTAGGATTAGGTTGCCTGTCCTTCTTATTTACAGTCAGCCTAAGTGACGTAGCTGAAATCTTAAATTCATAATCCCTAATAGAAGGGGAATGTTTATAGCACGCAGAATGTTTTCAATATGAGAACAAATCTGAGCTAATTAAGTTCAACCGATGAATGAAAATACAATAATTTATCTGCACATTTATAGATGCATTATTGGCGTGATATCAGACCAGAAAATCAACTCATCGCACTTTGACTCTCATGCCTGTAAGTTGAACACAAAAAAGGACAGACAAGTAAATCAGGTCTATATGTGTGTAAGAATAATTATTTGAAAGACATGCAGAATGCTCAAGAGTCTCGTTGTACCCTAATTACTGTATACTTACCAATGTAATATATGAGATGAACACAATACAGGGCTTAGCATGAGGTGGATGTCATTGTTTTACAGGAATAAACCAAAATATTGGACAAACTCAAATAGAACCTGATCTCCTTACAGCAAATGTCAGGAAAGGGATCACATCATTGCAAAGATTATCAGATTTTATGGCAGTGCATGCCACTGTGGAGACATTTCAATCAAAACTACATGTCAACCTGGTGGTGGTGCTAGTCATTAGGCTTCATCAGCAGAGGATCATAAATATCTTCACAGCACTTCATGACAGTTCTCAGAATAGTTGAGATATTTCAGTGAACAATTCCTGATGTTACACAGTTGTGATACACAGCAGGGCATTAAACCCAATGAGAGAGAAACGGTGAAAATATGTAATAAAAAGATTATTAAAACAGAGAGCAGGAAAACCAAACTCTGTGGAAAATGCAGTGTGCAACTGTGTGAGTGTATTGAGTTAAAACTACCAGTGGTAAAATGTGCTTGCAGTTCACGGAGAATGATTTTATAGATGAATATGTGTGTGATTTGTTACCGTCTTTCTGCACACAATGACAGCAGATGAGCTCCGAACTCATCACCAGTGAAGATATGATATTCAGATAGAAAACTGCAGTTTAATACAATGCTGCAAATGTAACCAAGCACAGAAAGAAAGGATAATCCACTGGTGCTTGCTGCTAACTAGCTGACATATATACAGCCATGTATACAATAGTTACTGAGGTTAGATACCGTCGTCGTATAGAGCTTGGAGAAACTACTGCTGCATGATAATAAAGTTTATCTCTTACTCTCAGTAATAAAGACAAGGAACTTTACAGCCTTGATAAGGGAGATAATTGCATCAAATGTAATTACAATATTGTATATTTATTACATATTTTAGCTGTGTTTGCATAACTGTGATAAATTAAAACAAAGAAAAATATAGGATGATATAAATAAGAAAGACATTTTATATTTGACATGTTCTGCTCAGTTACGTGGAGTGTACTTTGACACTTTGACAGAAAGAGGAATTTTAATGGCACCAACACAAAACACAGGCGAGATTAGAAATGATAAGTTACTTACAGCCTGCACTTGGAGGATACAAAGGTCGGGACAGCAGGTTTATAGATAGATCTTTGGTCCTTCGTTTCAGTAGCAGGTGATCAAAAGGCAATCTTGTTCCAAACACTGAGCTGCCAGCACGAAGACGCACCATGTTCAGGTGAGAAATCTCTTCAAAGATTTAGCTGGTTTTTAATGCTTATAGATTAGATGAGTTGTTTTTGTAAGTTGACAGGGATCTGTGTTTATGAAGTAGAACTCTAGCAATTAACCTAAATTGGTTCCCCTGGTAGGATTTCTCTAATCGTCTGTGTTTCGCTGATACTTGGCATCACAGCAAAGCCTTGGGTATGTATATATTACTTCCAGTCTTATATTACATTGAAATAAATCAGCTTTACTGTTACTTTTAAACATGTTTTTATGGTTAATAGTATTTATTTGAATCGTAATCCTGTATTATTTGTGCTCTTCTCTCAGAATAAACTTTCAGATGAAGTCTTCCAGAAAGCTGTCATGTGAGTTGAAGTTTCTTAAACTAAAAGAAAGGTTCTCATGTTTGCTTAGGCTGATAAAAACAAATGGTGTGTGATACTCATTTCAGGTCTATAGATGAGAGAGGTAGGCCAGCCTGGGCAGTGGCAGTTGAGCCTCCTGAGGATATGGATAGGACCCACTATGATATTGACCCCAACATGAAGATCTGGAAGAGTATGAGAGGCAGCGGACAGGAGAAAAAATATCTGAAGGCTGAGGAAGACCTGGATGAGCTGTACCATCCCTCAACGGGTAATCTCCTCCGAGGTCGAAACCAAAACTTGGATGTCCCCCCTGTTGTCCAGGCTGAGCCGGTGATACCTCAGATGGCGGTTAAAATTCAGGCCAGGGTTCACCTTGAGCCTGAGGAGGACATGGATGCTGTGTACCACAAAGAACCAGTCAGGCCGGTCTTTCACCAGGACAACATCAGAGCTGCCTATCCTGTCAATTTTCCACCTCAGAAGCACACTGAGCCAGAGGAAGATTTGGATATGATCTACCATCGCTGATCTTCCAACAACTCAGCTCTTTATCATTTAAGTTCATGTAGCTGCAACTGAGTAAAAAAAAATAAATCAAGAACTTCATTTGATTCAATTACACTGCCTTAAAGCTTCACTAAGCAAGAACACCTAAATCTGTGTCGCTCATATGCATCTTGATGATAAAGATACTGTAAACACTCCCATCAGAGACTGTGTTTCATTTATTTATTGATATAAACATAATGCAGAAATCAGTTATAAAAATATAGATTGTATTTACAGCAGTGATTACAGATTTGAAAAAAATGCATATGAATTCACAAAATATGATGATTTTGACTGTAAAGAATTCAATTAGTGCCTAATATCACAGAACAACAGAAAAATATAAACTGAAATCATCAAATGTGTTCAAAATGTGTGTGTGCGTGTCACTGTAGCTGCTCAGCAGGGATGACCCCCTTCTTCAGTATCAGGTTACCATACAGAGCTGTCTCCCTGAGGAAAATCATAAAGACACAATGTAAAAAAAGAAAGAAAGAAAAAGAAAAATGCCTTTTGTGTTGATTTTAAACTTTAGCGTGCAGACCATAATCTCCATAATTAAACTAGCTCCAGGCCTCTGCAATGATATCCAGATTTGTTCATGACAATGAAGCGATTAAAATCAGTGCAACAGTCTGATTATTGAGATGAGACACTTCTTGATTCATGATGCTGTAGGTTTGCTAATTTATGAAAAAAACAAAAAGAAAAACAACAACAACTGACAGATAAATCATGAGAATGATTTCTAGCACGGAACATCTTTTTCTTTCTTTTTTACAAACGGAACCATTTCTACACTTGATTTTGAAACACAGAAGTGCACTTTTAGCAATGCAACTCAATCTAGCTGAACCTAGACTCAAATGAAGGCAGAGAAAATACACCAACCCTGTTGCCACAACAGCGTAGGCCTTCTTGGCTCGTTCATAGAAAGCAAACCTTTCCACCTTCTCAAGAGAAACCTGTATATAAACAGAAATCAGCACACAGAGAGTCACAAATCAAATGAACACACACTCATTTTGTTTCACTTAATAACAGGGTGAAAGGGTTGTCTTACCTGAGAGCCTGCCTGGCTCAAGAGCTGTTCGTAGGTGTCCCACACAGGCACAGCTAAACCTCTCTGCTTGTCACTATCTACTAGATCCATAACTGCAGCCTGTGAAAGCATGCAGCACAGATTTTACATTATATGAACTAAATATTAAACAGTCAGGCACAAAAACGACAGAATGTCTATGCAGATGCTTTAGCTCAGTACCGGAGAGGGGACATAGGTGTCCAGGGGCAAAAGCTTCAAAACAGCCTCCATAAGCCGTGGGATCCCCAACCCTGCATTAAGGTTAGACACAGTCTGAAAGCTAAACTTGAAGGACACACACACACACACATTTTTTTTTATAGGCAGGTGTATTTACATACCATCAGCCCTTATCTCCTTTGGGCCACATGCACAAATAGAAGATGCTGGGAAATTAGCATCAGCAAGCACTGAAAATAATTAAACGAGTGAGTGACTTCATGAAGAGTGAGTAAAATCTCTGTAACTGTGCCGTGTAGCTACAGGTTAATGATCCTTTTTACGTGGTGTTGACATAAACTCAGATTAGCACAGCAGTGTGCAGCATGCCTACAAGCAGGGTATACAGGTCACTGCTGTTAGCAGCTCTGTATGCGTGTAATTATCATACCCAGTTCATCCCCGTGGCCCATTTTAGCGAGAGCATACAGAAGTTCAGGTGATAAAACAGAGGGGATTCCTCTTAGCACGACCATTCCTGCAGCCTCAAAACACGGAGAATCGGAGACGGCTCAAGCGACGCGAGAGTAGTGCCTGTAGCCAACTTCCGTCTTCGTTTGTGACATGCAGAAACATAAAATTACCAATTTAGGAAGAAAAACAAACTTTAAAGTTGTAAATGTTAACTGTTATGGCGGAAGATTCAGTCGTCAAGCTAAGATTCAAACTCTTATTATTTTTCGTTGTTGGTTTGTCGGATAAAGGGTTTAGTAGCTTTAGCAACAACTATCTTGACAGTCTTCCTTAGATGAACGTAAACGGATCACGTGCTAAAACTGATGAATCTGATTGGTTAGCTCACTTTTCTTAAACTTTAAATACAGTCTCAAAAATCCGAAAGCCCAGTTTTTGGAACAAATAAATAATAGCATAAAATACTAATGTGGCTTAAACGAATACTAAATAAGCTTATAAATAGTTTGTGTTTTCTTTTTGCTTCAGTTAGTAAAAGTTATCTAACCACACTGTGCTTACGTGAATCTATAAAGCAGGGTCGCGTTGTTCGCCTGTAGTCTGGTGTAATTAATCTTAGGTCCGTGTTGTTTCTGACACCCTTGGGTGGGCATAATTCAAAGCAGACACCGGTGAACGTGTTATTCCGACCCGATCTGTGACGCCAAGAATGTGAGATAATGAAAATATTTGTACGATGAAAACCACACTCCACCCGGCTTGTTTCATCTGGGCCAGAATGCTCTCAGCTGGATGACAAGAAAAAAAAAGATGCTGAGGAATCCTTTCCATGACCGCAGAGCCAGCCCGGTGCTGATATAAAAAGTCTTTTTAAAAAGTAAAGTCACAGTTGCAGGCTTGTGGGCTTTTACACTGAATTTGCAGATGCTGGTAATAATGCACCAAAGAAATACTGGCGCTTTATTGCTCGCATTTAATTTGCAAACAAATATCCACGATCTGCATTTATCTTATATCCGAGTAAAGGACTATATAAATCCGTATGTTTTGCTTTCGTTAACTAGCTATAACCTTACTTTTTAAGTTTGTATGTAACTTCTCATGAGAAAATATTGCTTTGCTTACTAAATGTAGCTGCCTGAATTTAAATGCATGCAAACGGATTATAACGCGGACATAAAAGCGGAGATATCCGGGCATGACTGGCACTGCTGCACTGCTGTTTAAGAAGATAAGAGTTTTTGGGGGGCTGCTGAGCTGGAGAAAAGGCCCTTTGCGGGAGTCAGGCCTGTCTGCCAGACTTGAGAGCCCCTTCACCCTCCCCGGACCCACGCTGCTCTCTCTTTATTCCGGCTTCTTTAAATGAGTTTATCACGCTACGAGGGTCCACGCTGCCAAAATGTAACGTTTTGCTTCCTTTGTCAGCGAAGAGCCTCAATTGAGTCTACATTTATTATTTTGACCTTTTGGTAGCCTCAAAGAGAGGTTTCTTTTCGGGCCCTCTCTGCGGACTTTTGTGCTTCCCCGCGGAGAGAAGAGACCAGTTTTTTTTCACCCCCTCTCCTTTTTAAAGGTTTGTTTCAAGGGGCTGACAAGAAAGCAAGCTCCAGGGGAATATTGAATAAAAAAAATCAATTAGGACACGGACTTGTGGAGATATGGGGCACCGCCGTGTGAAGATCAGAGAGAAAGAAGGTGCCTCCTGATGACTGGAGCGGCAAAAGAAAGTGCGCACTAACCAAATTTGTTCTGGTGTTTTCTTTGAAGTGAAAATTGTGGGTTTATGTGGCCCCGAAGATCCTCACTCAATATGTGATGGGGAACTCTTAACTTAACTCTTAACTTATCTATAGTTTTTTTTTATAGTTGTTTTTTAACTTTAACTTGCGTGCTTGCTGCTGAGATTTTTAGTGCTTATCAGTAATTTACAGAGGTGGCAAGAGCATCCAAATATCAATAATATCGATACCAACGCTAGTATTGGACTCATACTGTATATGATCGGTACATTTTTCCTTATCATCTAAGTTCTGTATATAAGTGTGTTAATTTTTTATTTCCTTTGATGGAAATGAAGAAAAAACATGCTCTATGAAAAAATGTCTGAACTTTATTGTCCCATCTGTTTTATTTATAACCTGTAGCACATTTAAAGTTCTATAAAAACCCCTAACATTTGGATGTTCTAAAAAAAAGTTATAAAATGAAAGGTGTGTTTTGTTGGGTTATTGTTGTGGAAAGTTAAAATCATAGTTTAGTGGTTATTAAAATGTGTCCAAAATTTGGCACACTGATGATGATTCATCTCATGAATCACGACACACACATTTTCCTTTATAAGCTCCCTTTATAGGTTAAACATATCACCGCGCATCAGAAATACTGGTCGGGTATCTACTTGGTATCAGTCATCAAAAAATTTGGGAGTATGGCACAGAGCTAGTAATTTAAGAAGAAAAAAAGACAGCTGACACTTTATCCAAAGCCCGATGCAAACGGCACAATTTATTTTGAGCAAAGATATAGTGTTATATTTTCCGTCAGGTTGATCTTATCGAATATATAAAACCCAGAGTTGTATTTTAGTGACTTCATAGCTGTGAATTTGACCTTACTTGTCCAGCTCGGTGTGTCTCTGTCCTGTGGGCCGACCAGAGGACTTACTGGCCATGTTGCGTTTCCCTGCACTTGTTTACAGCGCAAGAGGGCCACCTAGCGGTCTGAAGGCCACATTCCCATGATGTGACTCTCCTGTTCCACCACATCCCAATGGTGCTGTAGTGGATTGAGATCTGGTGCCTATGGAAGTGATTTGACTACAGTAAATTCAAGGTTACTTTCAAGAAACCAGTTTGATAGGATCTGAGTGTTATCCTACTGGAAGCAGCCATCAGAAGACCAGTATACTGTGGTCCTAAAAGGGATGGAAATGGGGAGTGGTGTCCTGCTACTGCGGCCAATCTTCTTCAAGGTTTGATATGAACGCTCAAATTTGTAACATAAAAACTGCTGCTTAGTTCTTGTAACCTCCTTTAAAGAAAAAAAGAAAAGAAAAAAAATTCATCTCTGAGAAATGCAAAGTTTCCAATATAGGTGCGCTGCTCAATTTGAGCTTCAGCAGGTCCTCTCTTGCCTGAAGGCACTGGGTTGCTGTCACGTGACTGGTTGATGAGATATTTTTAACCTGCGTACCTAACAAAGCAGCTGGTAAGCATGTGCTTTGTTAGCATGTTACAAATCAGCCCCTGCTTGCCAATAACCAAACCCAATGTATATGAAATTGGAAAAATATAATATGTAAAATATGAAAAATGTTTAATGGAATAAACTAATATGTTTACAAGTGAATAATCAATAAAGTCTTCCCATGTCTTCTTGCCACTCCCAGGGTTTATTTGTAAAATGTACAGAATAACTTGCCTACAAAATAGAAATGTTTGACAAATGAAAAGGCAAAGTCAGTACATGTCACATGCCCTACACCACCTGCTACACACTGACTATAATCACAGAGATCAAATCATATTCACATTCAACCCCCTTGCACCCCGACTCCATTTGATTTTGATGCTGATCCTCATCAGATGGGGCTTCAGTGAGAGAGACACTCTTGTGCACTCACATGGTGGCAAATCCTAGTCCCAGCAGCTGGAAAATTCCAATAATCCTGGATTTTTGCATCACTCAGCATATTACACACAAGGAAGTGAGCCACTGATATCAGAAACTTTGTGTTCTTGACTGTGATCTTCATCTGCTCCTTTTCTAATTGTCCTGGAAACTGGCCTTTCTCTTCTCCACAAAGGCAGTCATGCCTTCTTTACGGTCATCCTGTAGGGAAGGGAAAAAAACAAAACAGAAGTAGATCATGGATTGATTATTAAAATCTGACTCCACTGTTTTCACTTAATCCCATATTAGTTCTTCTACTCACCGTTGCAAATGTAGCATGGAATAAGCGCTTTTCCAAGCGATTCCCCTCAGCCAGAGTCAGCTCAAAAGCTGCCGTCACACAGAAGATGAGTCAGATAAAACATCCAACATATTCAGCTCAGTCGGTTTTAGAATATTTAGCCTTTTAAAATGTGCATACCTGCGTTAACAGCCTCTTTAGCCATAGCAGACACGAGTTTGGAGTTGGCAGCGATCTTCTCTCCACATTTTACGGCTTCAGACACCAGCTGGTCCACGGGATAAACTTTACTCACCAAACCTAAGGAACACAAAGATACACAGTTGAGAACAATAAATATAAGAAGTCAGTTTATTTGACACACTATTCATGTCACATTTTGTTTAAAAGCAGACTCTGTGCAGTTTAGCTTTGCTGTTATCCAGGTGCAGAACTATTCAGTACCTTCCTGTATGTAAAAGTACCAGAACCACAATCTAAAAATAATCTTTTTAAGAAAAGGTTGTTTATATAAAGCAGAAACTTGTAGAACCTTAAGCGCCTTTGCAGTGCTCTTTGTCATTACCTGATTGCTTTGCCTCTTGAGCACCAATCCTGTCCCCTGTTAGTACCATTTCCATCGCCAGGGATTTGCCCACAGCACGTGTCAGCCTCTGGGTGCCACCCGACCCTACAGGCAGAGAGAAGTTAAGGTGTCAATAAACCCGCCTCAGTGATGTCATCACACAGATACAGTCATTTATACTTGTTAAGGTGCAAAAAGCCACTGCAGTATTCTCCTACGCAATAGGTGTTGCCACTCAGACAATATTGCGTCATACACGCTGATAAGGAAGAGAAGAAGTCAAAACCAGAAGCCTTTGTCGAGTTTCTTCCACAAATTCAAACAATTTTCCATTTTCAAACAATTCCATCATCTTTCTCTATGTGTCAGTATGTCTCTGAGTTTCTGTGCAGGATTCTCATTAAAACGGCACAGCAGGCCAATGCGCCATAAAGATTGTGTCTCGCGACACAGGATGTCATGTGAAAACTGTCACATGCGACCTACAACTTAAGTGACACGATGAGCAGAAAAGCTTTACAATCGACTGCTCAAAAAGCCAGCCTCTAGTAAAGAGGTGCAGTTTAATAGAAAAGTACAGTAATCCATAAATTAGACTTTACCAGGAATGGTCCCCAGCAGGATTTCTGGTTGGCCAAACTGAGCCTTCTCCCCGGCGTAGATAATGTCACACATCATTGCAAGCTCGCACCCTCCACCGAGCTGAAAGAGCAGAATGCACGTATAAAAACACCAAAGCAGGAGCTGTTTGGATGATACAACTGAACATATTACTTCTGTTGTCCTTAGTTTTAACAATGATGACCCTCTACAGTGTGACATCCACTTTCTGAGCCTCGAAACTGTCCTGCAAAGA